TATATATACTGGCTTTTGCTTTACCATCTATAAAGTGGAATATATTCATGCATGTGCTTGAGAGCCCAGATTCTGGCCTTGTAGCAACAATCTCAGTGTCTGTCATAAGACTGTAAAGAAGAACAACAGGCCTCCTTAACACGTGCCAGTCCATGGGTCTGATCTGCAGCACTACAAAAATAATAAAGATAGAAAAAGAAAGAAAGAAAGAAAGAAAGAAAGAAAGAAAGAAAGAAAGAAAGAAAAAGATGTGAACAGGAACAAAAACTTAAGAGAAATACTAGTAATATAATAGACATAAATTCAATTACATCACTGGACCAGGTTCTTTGATAGAAGCTAATATATGTTACCTTCAGAGTACTGAGAATGGGAGGTTACCTTTTATCCTGGGCTTGGTATGCAGCAGTGCAACTGAGAAACTTTCTGTTTTGGGAAGGTGGCTTCTAAATATAATCTAGAATTTAACCTGCGTTTCCTTCAGGAGTCTATTGGTTTGAATGTGGAAATATGTATCTTTAATTTCACTAACATGTAACTGAAACTTAGCATTTCTATCAACTATGAATGAAAGCAATCAACCTCATTAATAATGAGAGACATATCTTTTTGGCCAGTAAACATCATGCATTTTATTTTCATGGTATATATATGAAAATGTCATTTACCTCATCATTGATTCAAAATTATGGTAGTAACTAGATGTGCTATAAGATCTTGATACTTAATATGTTTTAAAATTGTGTGTATTTATTTTAAGCATTACTTTAAACATTTTAAATAATTTGTTTCCTTTGTGACCCTACATATCAAGGTTTTAAAAACTATTATTCTGAGATGGGGTAAATAAGCTTCACTAGACTTACACACACACACACACACACACACACACACACACACACAGAGTTAAGAACATCTGATCTAAAGGAATAAGTCAAGCAAGGAATGATGAAGGGAGAGGTGGTCTGGGTTGGGTAGGAGAACTGAACAGGCAAAGGCAGATGGGTGTGAAGGACAAGAGTATGCAGCCATGTTTGATCAGCTTAGAAATGACATTTCATGCTGCATACACTGTGTTTCTTCCATAGTTACTTGAGAAAAAAATTTCTATTCTTATCAGTCTAATCAGCAGGTGTTTTGGTTCAGGAGCATGAAATAACTTTGAAGCATGAAAGCATATGATGAAAAAAAAGCTTCTCACATTTTACCCTTTGTGCCCCTTTACATGAAAAAGTTGTGCTCATATTTTTAAATGTGAATAGTTTATAGATAATTACTCATAATATCCACAGTTGAAGAAAGAAGCCACTAAAGAGTCTATGGATTAAACTTAATTCAATTAGTAAACGTGAGAGTTTCCATGACTACTGGCATCTAAAAGAAAGTGAAAAATGCTGAGAAACACTGCATTTTTTTTTTCTAAATTCATAGCCTTATTGTCTTCAAGTGTAGTTCTACTTAGAACTGTAACATAAAAACTAAAGGCAAAACTACTCTGAATGTTGAACTAGTGGGAAGGCAGGGACTCTGCTTGGCTATTTCCTGTCTACCTCACCCATTATGGTGGCCCAGGAGTGCCCTAACCTCAATTGAAGACTCCACATCCTACAACATTTAGATATTTGAAGGGATTCAGTCTTTTCCAAGAGACTTTTCTTTCCCCTGGTACCTGGATGGAACTCAAGACCTTGCACTTGCAAGGCAGGCGGGGCTAAATCCCTGGCCCCCTCCAGGAGATTTTTTACTTTAATCTGGATCTTAGATACAGTAACCTCAACTCTGTGTTTTGCTAAATACTACTTCATTTTGTATTATATATTCATATATTGAAATTATGTTAGTTGTTCAATATCATTGTGATTTCTACTCATCTTTAGACAGTAGGGCGACACTATTCAGAAGAGTGGGGAGGTAAAAACCCCTTTCTGTTCCCTCCTACTATTTATTTTCCCAAAGCTTACTGGCTTATAAGCTCTGAAAGAGATCTTTGAAGCTACTTGTTAAGCATATATTTAATTTCATCAATAAAATTTTACTTAGTCTATTAGCATGTGCTTTACCATAGCACAGGTCGTTCCCAATTTTCTTGCTTTTGATTTTTGAACAATTATATTTTTTGTATATTAGAGATTGATACCTGCAAATTCACCTCTATAGACTGAATTTCTGCTTTGCTATAATGGAGCACAAACGATTTCAAAATATTCCATGGTGTTATTAGCTTTCGGTCAACAGTTCTAACTTGGAAATGTTATGAGAATATATCTGATTATGCAATTTTAATGCTGCTTTTATTGTACTTTTATTATTTTCTAAAGGTGGTTGAGGACATGAAGCATTCTAATTGCGTTAAAATTAAACTCAGAAATTGTCTAGCACTGTTGGAATGGCAGCTATTATTATTCTGAATGGGCTGGGTCCTAACAGACAATAATCTTTGGCACTCTAGGATCAGTTCTCAGAGGAAAAGCACAGATGAGTTGTACGAAATGGTAGGATTAAATTATAAAACATATTTAATCAGCAATGTATTCTTTCTTATTCCTTCCTCAAAAGTATAGTCTATTTGACAAGTTTTGGTTTTTGACTCTTGTGTAGATTCTTGGTCCCTGCAGCCTGTGTATGCTGGCCCTATGCACTGACAGTGCTTAAAGCTCTGTAACTCAGAGCTAATTGCTTATGACTCCTGCGTCCTTCTCCTCATTCAGGAAATAGCTCACAGATGAGTTGGTCTCTAAACTCCCTTCTGGAACTGCCATTAGAAGATCTAGCATTTACTGGCTTGAGAGAAGACACAGTTGGGGCCTGCTTTCCATCATCATCTAAGCTTGGAAGTTAACCTACACCTCCTACCAGCTGTCTGTGACATCTCATACACCATATTTTAGCGTATTGATTGGATGATAACCTTTTCAAAACAAGCACCGAGTGGGATGCTATTTTATATCACAAGTTGCCTTTACTTTGATGCTTTCAAAGCCATGTATTCTCTTTAGATAAAGCATAAACTTATTTTATTATATCTGAGAAATTCTGACATAAAAGTAAAAGGATTCCAGAACAAAATCTATAAGCATCAACTTTCCTTCAATACATTGCCTTAGAATTAAATGTCAGCTGGTAATTTAGTCCCAGATCTGTTCATGACTTTACCGTAATGGAAAATAAGTTCAGATAATCTTTTCCAACTAGTAAATTGATCTCATATATTACATCTAAATAGTTCAAATCGGTGCACTATTAGTAAACTGGCCATGAAAGTCCCCAGTCTGTGTAGTATTAATTAAGATAAGCTTGAGATTTGTTCGCATAATAATGAAGTAATAGTTTGTCTCATTTAATCTTGACAAGTGATATGTGACACTTCAATAATAGCTGATGTGACCTTAAAGGGGAATGATGGCATTGCTCATCTGAAGTGACAGATTACTTCATGTTCTCCTGCAGTGGACCTTAATTCTTTCTCTCTTTTTCATTATTTTATTAGGCTGCTGGTGCAGTAATGAAGCTTCAGTGAACTGCTATCTGGAATTGTAAACTTAGGCAAATTAGTCCCAGAGTTCCCTTGAGGAGACATTCCATTGTAACAGTAAACAACAGCACTGTTACGATAGAGACATGAGGGAGAAAAGCTTCCGCTTCCGCACAGGTTTTTAAAATGCAGAAATTCTTCAGAGATGTATGGGACATTTTTAACTACAAAATGCAGTCTTTTCAGGATATTGTATTAGCTCCCAACACCTCACTTTTCACAACAACCATCTATGTGGCTGCTGTCTTGTAAAAAGCACAGTTTGGGTATCTGAAGAAAACAGAGATGAACCAGCGTACAGTGTATCATCCAAGCTGCAAACTGTTAATAATCTACTAAAGGAAAGACAACAAACAGATAAACCACTGTAATAGAATATAATAAGCACAATTGCCTTAGAAAAAAATACAGAAGAATGGGCCGGGGATTTAGCTCAGTGGTTCCCCCGCCTGCCTCGCAAGCGTAAGCTCTGGAGTTCGATCTCTGGTTCCAAACAAACAAACAAACAAACAAAAAATACAGAAGAATGGAAGTGAGTTCTCCCTATTAGAAGCCCAAGGAAGGCCATTTCCGGGCTCACGCTCAAAAGCTGGAGAATTCAGAAATGTTCCAATTAACAAATTAGATGTGATCAAAACATACAGTGAATGCTTAAATAACAAAATATTCCAATAATAGACACTGACATTATTCCCTCTTAGAACACGTACCTCTTTATTCTTGCCACTTTCTAGAGGAGTTCTGGAAGTCCCTTTTGTGTTTCTTTTATGAGGTATGAGAGAAAATGCAGTGGCTGCTCCTGCTGCATGCCATCCAATGGAAAAACAGGCTCATGAAAACATTGTGATGTGTCCTCATTCACCCTGTTCACATGATCTAGCACTTTGCAACTTCTGGCTCTTCCCTAGTCAAAATGACCGTGAAGGGTAAAGGCTTTGAAAAGATTCAGAACATTGAGTCAAGCACAACAGCACAACTAAAGACACTCAGGAGAGAAGACTTCCAGAATTGCTTAAGAAAGTGGCAATGAAGATGGGATAAGTATGCTTCAGGCAAGGGAGAGTATTTTGAGGAGGATCAATGGCAATGTGTCTTTTACTGTAAAAGAAATTTAAAATTTAAACAGTCATCCTTATTTATCTATTGCACTTTTTATACCTTACTTCCTCTATATCCCCCTCAACCTTTTGGATCTTGTATTACTCTGTATATGAAGAGAAAGAAAATGATGACTATAAATATATAGATGGATGGCATAGAGTCAATAAAGGTGGGGTACCAGCAAGATACAGGAGGTCTAGCTTCCATTATATGGCCAATGAGAAGACACTACTAAGGCAACTTGCAGAAGGAAACCTTAGTGAATAACAGGGAAGGTATAGGATATGCGTAGGCTTCTCTAATCTGTGCATGGGAGATGTGAGGATACAGGGAAGAGCTAGAATCTCTTCTGCTTGGGAAGTTTAGATACCTCTGGAAAGTCAGATTAATTTTATGCTTTATACCTTATCTGAGTTTGTTAGATTTTTTGACTTCTTTTAGTTTCTGAGAGTTTCATACAGTCCCTCTAATGTCAAAAAAATTTTTTGAGGGATTTATTTGGGGTTCAAAAACAGTATATTGTCAATTTCCCACTCTGTCAGGTTGGGAAGTCCCTGCTTTGGAAGTCAAAGCCCAGGGCTTGCTCATCTTTGGACTCCCTGCGTACATACACTCCATCTCTCCTGCACAGGGTCTGAATAATTGAAAGTCTTCAATAAAGTGTTAAAGAAATGATTGCTTGGACTGACCTGTTCCAACTGTTTGCCATTTGGCCTGCTAGCCACTGTTAAACGCATTTCTGCAAAAAGCACGACTCATTTATATAACGTATCAGCTCCCCCTTGTGACTATCCTGCAGGCAATTTGACAGGAAATAAAGACACCTTTAAAAAAAATGTGATTCTATGCCTTTTGTAGAGTGTTTAGGAGAAAACTGTTTCTCAAGGATAATCACACGTCATGCAAAGAAAACTCAAGCCAATGAAATTAGTGAGACTGGGACCCTTTATGCTATGATTCTAATGACACATTGTTATCACTTGATTCATTTCAAAAAGGCCCCACACACCTCCCAGTGGAGTGAATGCCCCTCCAAACTGCAGAAACAAGTGTACAATGCACGTCAGTTTAGGGCAGGTGAGCTTAAATAAATATTAACTTAAGAATGCTAGGACTTGCCATTTATTTTCCAATGCCATGATTTTCCATAGGTCATCAAGACCAGCCAAAGGAACTTACTCCAAACACTGAAAATAAAATTACAATAATGGAGATCCAGTTCCAATTTTCATGTGTTCTTGTTTTCTCATCATTGGACTATATCTTTTAAGTCATCTGTATTATCTTAATGTGTTAATCCACTTTACTTTGTGCAGTAACACTGGCTAATTTTTCAGTTTGTGAATTGTTTGCTGATGCCAATCTCACGTGACTCACACTGTATTTCACCTGAGGCAGAAGCAATTGTTCTCCTTCAGCAAGGCAGAGGTCATGGTGATGGAAACCTCAGAGAAGTTTATTCTCAACATTGAAATGGTAAGAGTGAACTCAAGTCCTAGCAGTAAGCCCAGGTCTGACACTAGAACTAGCTTTTCTTGTTTGCACAAATGTTTCTTGAAGGATTTAAGGGACCACCTGTTAACCATTTGCACCAAGTTTTAGAGAATGAGAACCTGTGTCCACTGATGCCTCAACTCATCTACTTTCTGCATATGTTTCTTTTAGGATTCACTTGTTTATCTCTGTTATTTTGTGTCTGAAAGAATCCTTAAGTTTAATGGTATCATTAAATATTCATCCAGAGAGCAACATAAAAAATATTTAGTGAACTCCTACTATGTACCACACACTGAACACATAATGTGGAGAGAGATGAATAAGACATAGCGGTTGACAGCCTAGCTTGTGTGGAAGTCAGCTGTCAGACTGCTTAGTCCTACTGCAGGACTTGGACATGCAGGAGGTATTCAAATTGAGATTAATGATTCAATTCCTTTCAGAACAGTTAGTCTCTTGAAAGAGAGTATAAGGAATAAAAGGAAACAACTTGGATTCATAAGCCAGTCACAAGTTCAAGGTAGAAGACCTCAGGTAGTTGTGGTATGGCAGTTAGGGAAGCTCATGCTGAAAGACGACAAGCTACAGATCTTACCCAAGCCATCTCACTGTGGATCCAACTGGCCGGTCCCCTGGCTCAGCCCCCACTGACTCCCTTTAAAAGATCTCACCCTGTGTGCAGGTGAGGGAATTTGTAACAGAGAATGATCAAAAGCAAAATGGGTTATCGAGGGAAGGCAATTACACAGGGAGATCATTAATTGGAAGGCTTATCTCTTCAATGCACTTGGAATGTGTAAACTGCAGTGTTGTGAATTGAATTTCACGCACTCCTATTGTTTGAGAAGAGCTGGCTGTGTGTGGGAGGTGCTGAGTGATTTGCCAAAGTGTGGTAAGAACACCAGCAATCAAAAAACCACTGGGCTCTGAAAAGCTGGGAATTGAGTGAAGGTGTAAAAACTTGAAGGCTAGAGGGAATTGGGACTTCTCACTGAAATGGAGCTTGAAGCGGAGGAAGCACAATCAGTAAGTAATAAAGAGGAGGGAAGCCAACAGCAGGACAGAGGGGATTGAAAAAGGACTTGCTAAGATCCCATTTCATCAATCAAATTTGGACGGCCTGCTGGGACAAAGTCTACTTGGGCCTTGGGTAAAAGACTCCTTGATGTTCTTACAATTTAGAAAAAAGAGTTCAGAATTGAGCCCTTGTGTTGAGAGGAAATAGAAAGTCATTTTAAACCATTCACGTATTTAGACAGGACACAAGCAACATGAGGAAGCAGAAGACCTGGTTCCTTCATATTCTTGTCCCCCTCCTCTGACCTTGCACCTTTCTGTGCAAAAGAGCCCTCGGCATTCTGCTGACAAGTTATGCCTCCTCTCACCCTATTGCCTTGGCCCAGAATGCTTTCTATACTTTTTTTTTTCCAACTTCATCCTGGTGATCCAAATTTCAGTCCTACCTTTGATATTAATTCCTCTTTATAATGAGTTTGGCTTAAGAATAGTTGCCGGCTGCTATGGCAGGGCAGTTTCTACCATACACTGCGACAGTGTTTAAACTCATGCTTTTCTACCCTTCCTGCAATTTCCTTATTCTTTGGACTGTGAGTTCTGCCTCATCCTTTAAGACTTACTTGAACATGTCTATTCCTTAGGGCAACCTTTTCTGATACCCAAGTTAAACAGTAGAATATGGTCCAAACTTGGCACTGTGAGATAGTTTTTTGAGACCTATCTTTCTCTCTAAACTGTAATGTTGGTGAGGACAGAACTGTATTCTCCTGCTTTGGTTTTCATGGTATTTTTATTTTCTAGTAGTGTGCCTGTACTTCTTGATGTTCTAACAATTGTACATTGCCTTTACTCTTTCTTCTGAGTTGATTGTGAAACTCTTGACAAGGCTTTGTCTAGATTTGTTTCATTCCCTTACATCATAGCAAAATACCGAGTGCATGATAGCTCTTAACTGTGTATTAGATGAATAAATGCTAGAAGAAAATACTAGAGCAGGTCTCTCGGGTTAGGCACTACCGAGACTTGGGGCGAGATGGTTCTGTTGTTGGTGCTGTACACTACACTCCTAGATGTTTACAAGCTGGCCTGGCCTCCCCCAGAGGATGCCACTGGCACCCCATGGTTGTGAGCCCAGAAATGTGTCCAGATATCACTGAACCTTTCCACTGGGGATGCGGCACCAGGAACATCCGAGTGCAAAGTCACCCCAGGCAAAGAATCACTGATCTACAGTAAATATCTTCAAGTCATCCAAGCTGAGAAGTTTTAGTTTCTGCAGAAAAGTGACACATGAGTACTAGATAACAATTATAATGTATTTACTTAGGATTCCTTAAAGATTAATTACCTGGATGCAGGGTATAGCCCAAAGTCCTCGGGAAACAAACTTTATGTAGGCAGACAAAGGTCTTCAGGCATTTTCAGAGAACATTCTTGTGTTGGTTTTATTGTGCACAGAAGTATCCTAACTTATTGTATAGCTCACATGAACACTTAAATGTTCTTTCTCTTTCTCTGATCTAATCAAAGCTTTTGGTTTCAGATGATCACAGCTAACAATGAAAAAATAGGAAAGATTGGTCAAATGAAATCTAATGAATACACACACACACACACACACACACACACTCACAAGTATATTTAATTAATTTTTTTCTCTTGAAGGCAAAACTTTTTGACCAGCTGATTGACTGAGCTCTTTGTTAGGGTGCTGATGTGTTGACGCAGAGAGTTGGTTAAGTTTCTTTCCTGCTAGGGAACATGAAATTACATCCCACCAACCTAAGCTCCCCTGGAGTAAATCACACAGTGGTTACGTTTAGAGTCCACAGAAGATGAAGGCTTGGGGTCTTTGAGGTCAGATTTTCTCCATGAAACAGGACAAACAAAAATTTATGATGCTAAAGTCTTGGTATAGTTTTTAAAAGCAGAAGGCCATTGATTTCCTTCCTTCTACCTCCTCCATTCTTTCTTTGAAGAAAAAGTATAGGAATTATCCCCAGAGGCTACTGGCAGACAGACAGTTTCTAGGTAAGCAGGGGTTTTTTCTTCCCTACCCAGGGGGATTCATGGCTGGCTGAGCAGCAAATTCACTCCCAGTGTTTCAGCTCACAAATAAAGAGGTAATAAGAGAGGCTCTGCATGTGCATTGGCCAAAATAGAAAATGGACAAGAAGCAAGAGGAGTTTATAAGTAAACACATCCTACCAGAAGAATGTGATTGCTATTTTAGAAAGAATTGGAAGGTACAGGGAAGTATAGAGGCCATGCACTTTAAATCGAGGCAAACC